CACACACACACACACACACACACACACACACACACACACACACACACACGGAAGGTAAGAACTGTAGATTAAAAGGTAGAGGAAGACAGGAGACGGCGAAAGACAAAAACACAGAGAGGCTGCTGAGAATACGGGATTAAAATGAAAACCGCTTTATTACATCTGCACTTATCAAAATCTCAAAACCCTGCATCCTGCTGACTCACCGTCTATTGCGTCTGGCTAATCATGTCAGCTAAATGCCTAAAATCCAATATTACTAAACTAATGGCTTATGCGCAGCCACCAAAGACATGAGGGGGGGTTGTTAAGAAAGTACAGATAGATGGAAAGAGATGGAGGACTAAAAGGATGGAGACCACAGAGACTTCAGCGAGACGGAGGAACAAGGGAAAGAGGGGGGCAAACAAGGCCAGAACAAATTGATGGAACTCATTCTGGGTGAACTAATGGACTGGATCAAACCACGATAAGAGACAACAAGATTTGGAAAGACAGCCGAGAAGGAAGAATGCGGTAATTGAATGTTCAAGTAAACAAATTACAATTGTAATAGCCGTGTTGGCACTCCTGTTGGTGCATTAAAAATCCATCGTGGTCTGCTGGCCCATTTCTATTTGATCGTGCCTGTTTCTGTGAGTTGACATTGGCATACTTTGAGACCAACATATTTGTGTGTGTGTGTGTGTGTGTGTGTGTGTGTGTGTGTCTCACCAGGTTGGACCCTCCAGTCCAGTAGAGGAAGAATCCATCTGGGTCAACTTTCAGAGTGACCAGGGTGGGGGGCCCGCTGTTAGGCTCCTAGACGACAACAGAAATGGAGGCATTAGAGGGACGAACATTCATTTCATTTCCATCAGCCAGTGTACAGGTATATTAAAACTTGGGTCTTATTTTCATACTTAGAGGAATATGTGAGCACAGCTGAAATGTGACTATAATCCTCATCTCATTGCACAACGGCAACATCAAACCAGGAAGTCACTCACAGCCAACTCACAGCTGTGAGGGGTGTTTACGAGTTTGAGTTTAAAAAAAATACTATTTAATTTTCCTTTCATTTATCTTCCAAATAAGTTTGGCTAAAATCTGTCAAATTAAAGTAAAATAGGTTATTTTGTGTCAGTTTGAGTTGGTTAAAATAAGATAAAAAAAATTTAATGATACTGCTGATGTGGCCAAAGTTTTGAAAATGAGACCCAGGTTGTATGAAACCATCATTTTGTTTCAGAGCTGAACTCCTCAGCCAGTGATTCTGAAAACTACAGATTGAACTCCTAAATGAGTCTAGGTCTTGTTGCTGCTTGGCCACCTTGAATACCATAACCACAAACCATACAATTGAATGTAATCTTCTTGTTGTGAGCAGCAGGGCCATAACAAAAACACACAGGCGTGTAATCCATTTCGTATCCAAATAAACAACTTCTGGGGTAGAAGACAATATTCTCACAGCAAAATAAAAAGGACAGAGTGACATGAAATAAGCGGTTTATGGCAGCAGCGGCTCTACCTGCCGGCATATGGCTCCTTGCCATTATGGGATTGTAGACAGAAGCCACACAGTTTGGCCAGCATGAAATGTCATTCATGTGCAGCATAATGACGGCTCATGCAGGAGCCTGCATCAACATGTCATTAGCATTGTCATTATAGGGTCATATGCAAGATCCCATGACACACACACACACACACACACACACACACACACACACACACGGTTTGTCCAGCAGACAAACATACCGTCCAGACATCCTGGGAAACAACGATGATGATCCTGATTGGTTATTACAATGACAGATGACTCATGTACACATGTCATCATGAGCTTCAATATAAGCATCATCACCATCAGATGGGAAGACAGAGAAACGTTTGCCAGGCAAAACTTTGCCACCGACATACTATCAGAGGAGTACAGTAAGTTTACAAAGATATGCAACACACAAACAACTAACCACTGACCACATACAAGTGCTGCTTCTTAAAGTGCGGCAGAACAAATGCAATGACAGACAAAGCGGATACATAAATAGTCATCGTATCATGTTTAACACACAAATGTGCAAATGTTGACCATTTGAATAATCATTTCAGACTGAATGATTTCAAACAAACACAATCTAGCAGAGTTGATAGGAATCAATTGAAAGCAGGCACAAAAACAAAACTCTTAACTGCATCCCTCAATTCAAAAATACATTTTGGAGAGACGATGCAAATTATTTAAATATAATGTCATAAGCAGATTGCGTTACCTTCAGGCAGAGCCAGCGGTTCACCCATCTTTAGGCTCACATTAAGCTTATCGGGCTTCTCATCCATCTCTACACATGGAAGCGAATAAATGTTGAACTATTCCTTAAAGGAGTCGCCTCAGTTTTAACTTTCACAGGAAATGCACGTTACGAGTGCATTTCAGGCTGAACATACCTTGAGTTTAGGCTCCAAAGTCGGCTGACGGAGAAGGAGATGGCAGGAGTGGTAGATGTTTAGATTTAGAATATACAGGCAAGAAAGATGGGATGAAGGTGGATAGGAGATGGATTGGCAGGAAAGGGTGACGGTTGAAAAAGGAGAAAGAAACAACAAAAGGTCAGGAGGAGTAGAAAGAAGAGAGAGCACGAGATCAAAGCCAAACCACATCATGAGACCTTAATAAGCAACGGGGAATTCAGTGGTTTTAAAGTGGGCATCCGACTTAGAGTTACGTGATTCACTTGCAGTGAAGCCCGAGCTTGAATATCTGCAGCCATTAACGGCTTGTTTTTGCTCAATCTTTTGTCTGCTAGGTTTGATTTCCTGATTCAATAGAAAATGATCACAACACAAACTGGAAAGTTTGGAAGGCTCAGATGTTTCAACAGCCAAAGTGCTGAGAACAAAGCAGCTTTCATTCATATTAACAGAGACTACTGTGCTTTCCATGAAATGCATAAAATGCAAATCATTTGCAAATCAAAATAGCTGTCTTGGGCGATAAATGCAAATAATACCGTTGTTACATAATCCCGGAAATATTTGCTGCAGCATGTCAACAAACACCTGCAAATCTCCTCCGACAAATTGAACGTTAGTAAGTGCTCCACTCTACTTCAAAAGACAGATTTACGTTTCTTTTCAAACCAGCCAGTTTCCAACAGTAAGAGCACCCTCACAATACATTTTTACAGCCGTTTTAAGCTCCACTGTGGGAGCGTGAGCCGTGTGAACGCTGTGGCCTCGCCTTCTTTAGGAGCAACATAATTCAGACGGTGGGTGGCGATACTAGTTTTACAAAGTGAAAGGCTCTCTCTAGAGCTTGCTTTGTTGTTCTGAACTACTGTAGAAACATGGCGGTGCAACATGGTGGACTCTCCGCAGAGAGGACCCGCTCTCAATGTAGGTGCGAAGGGTTCATTCTGAGCTACCGAAAATACAACGATTCTTAGTTTCAGGTGATTACACACACACGCATGAAAACATAGTTAAGAACATTATCTTCCATTAGTACCCATGAGATCCCCTAAATGCTACACACTGGACCTTTAAATATACGGTTTCCATTCATAGTCAAGAGTGATAGAAGTCATCACATCTTGAGGTTGTAGTGTGTTGGTATTTCTTTGATAGTTCAACAGCTGTAGTGATGCTGCTGCAGGTGCAACAGAAACCTGTCTTCACCCCTTAATATCAACAGCGGAGGACATTCCTCTGGGCAGAAAGCTTTCAGACAATTCAGAGCAGTGCTGGTCAGTACAAGTACGTAGTACAATGTATTGAGGTACGTTTTACCCCCCCGTAGGAGTGAGACCGATAAGGTGTCTCCCTCTCTTAACTGTATCTAAACCGTTACACAAGAGGCTCAGTTTATGTAACTAGTTCTCTTCTTTGCAGAATAGGTGGGGAATTCCACTGGGACCGGATACACTTGCAGAGGAATGTGATCTAAAGGCTCATGTGACCAGTAATATAACAGCATCTCCCATATAGTCTTCAAGCCACACAGACAGGAGGCTGAACACACACACACACACACACACATCATTTGGGTCAGATGTATTTGCATGTTGCACCCGCTGAGTTTTACATACCTGGCAGTTGCTTTCTAGTGCTGCACACACATCGGTTACTCTCTCTCTCTCTCTCTCTCCTGTATCTTTCCATAATTTATCTTTCAATCTTTCCATTTGTATTCACTAATCTACTCACTTGAAGTATTTTATTTGGCTATGTTTAAATCAGGCAAACGGTCAAATATTCTCCAATTACAGCTTCGAAATCTTAATTTAGGCTAATGACAATTAATATAGTCATTAATTTGTCTTTACCCACTTGTTCTTGCCAAGTGTCACTGTAACTGCTCTGAAAAAGAAAGTTTTACAACACAAAATGTCACAATAGTTTCCAGCTGAAATTAAGGGTAATGGTTAGAAATGACTGCATGCCCTCCCTACAGGCAAGTTGTTTTCCATAAACATGCACCCTATGGTGCGTTTTCGGTGTGAGAGTGGGTGGTATGTCAATAATTGGACCTCACCCCACTCCCTAATTAACTGCCATATGTAGAGACCTTCTGAAGTCTCGCCTCGCTTCCTTCCCTCCTTTCTTTCTCTCCATGTCAATCATCCCTTCAAATCACTCTCCCTCCAACACTTTGATTGCTGTTTTCCCTCCTTAATAATTGATTAAAGACCAGCTCTCTTTCTCCAGAGCCCCTGAACCTCTGACAAACCCCTTCATTACCTGGCCGTAATGTCAAACACACACACAAAGTGGGCTGGACCACCCTCTGAGGCCAAGGTCTTACATAGACTGACACCAGCTAATGAGTCCCTCTTGAAAACCCCCACAATCTATGAAGGCATGCACATGCAGAAAGACACACAGGGCTTCTGCCTCTCTTCCTAGATACGGCCTTCACCACAAATGAATGAGTGTCTGTTGTGTAATACGAGTCAAGAGAAACCGATAAAAAAAAAAAACGCGACTGCTCCAAGCGCACCTTTGGTCCGCCATAATGCGTGCATGTTCAGCGACTGGTCGCGGGAGTGGTGTGAGAAAGAGGGCCAGTGTGCACTTAGTGCGAGTGTGTTTGAGCCGCTGCTTTGGCAACATGGTAAAAGTTGATGACAGCGGGTAACCTTTGGACTCGAAAGAGAAAGAGAGACAGAGAAGAGGAAAGAGTGGGGCCAGAGAGGGAAAATAAGCGTTAGAATATGAAACAAAAAGGTCAGAACAGTTCATATTTAGTGAAGTGGTAAATGACATGTGGTAGATGTGGTTTATCAGAACAGCGTTACATACCGTAGGTGTAAACATACGAGGGCACTCTGGGACTAGTTTCTCCACAAGGGTCCTTTAACCTTCACCCGATCCAACATCCACTCAGGAAATGAACCAGTAACCCTGCCAGTGGTAGTGCCGTGTTCTAACTGCTGAACATTACCCCTGTGTACATTGACTTAAACAAAGTGGCAAGATCCCTGTTTTAGATCATCCCCCATTACGAGTATCAAATTCTCCTGCACCGACGTCCGTGTCAGAGCCGCTGTTGGTGTGGGACGCCTACAGGGATATGAGGATCATTTTCAGACAGCCTCTCCTGGAAGTTTTCAGTGTCGCATTCCGCTATAAGTACAACAAATAGATGTGTAAAGAATGGAAAAAACTTCACAGGACAACCACTAAAAGCAGGTAATTGCATTGTGACAAACAAGACCTCTACCAACTCTACTGAGACACTTTTTAAAAGCCTTGAAATGTGGATTATATACGAATAACCAAATATTATGGGCTGTAAGGAGTGGAGGACCTTTAAACCTAGTAGTACAAAAGAAAGAAGACAACAGAGGGGAAACAAAACTAAAAGACCGGAAGCAGACAGAGACTGGAAGAAGGAGGAAGAGAGAGTGATAGAAAGATGGCCACAGAAGGAATGGGGGAAGAGATCTCATCGAAGATACAGAGACACAACAAGGTTACATGTGTAGTGAGTAGGAGTAGAGATGGAGCAGTCCAGATATCAGTCCCACACTTCACATGTGGCTGTGGTTGACCTTCCACCTCTCCCCCTCCCTCTATCCATCCATCCATCCCTCGTTTCTCACCACGCTGTCAGGATGTCAGCAGTGTTTCTCGGCATGGCGTCAGAGCTTCGCATAAGCCTGCGTTTCCTCCTCCTCCTCCTCCCGCTCTCATCTCCTAAACATTTACCCTTTCACTGACCGATAATGACAACTTGTGGCATGTTGCTTCCTTCCGTCTATCTAGTGCTAAACCGAGGGATCCACTTTTTGATGGAAACACAGGAACAGTTGGCAAAGAAACGGTTTCATTGGCTGCCACATCTCGGGTATAAAATGCGTTCCAAGCAGTAACAAAACCATCTCGCCTTGCGCAAGGACTTTCAACACACCGTACATCCAGTGTAATGCACGTTGTGTCTGCAACATGAACAGTGTCGGCAGTTAGTAAAACATCTTAAGAGAGCATGCAGTCGTTCAAGGCTGCTGCAGTGGATATTGTCATCAGTGCTGTGGCATCTTAAAAACATTGGATGGTGTGACATAAAGTGACGGTGTAACCGAGAACTGGCCAAAGACAAGCAGGAACAAAAAACAAGACAATAGAAGGAGCTGCTGGGCAAGTCCCGACATGCAGAGGAAGAAAGTGTGCAGGAAGAAATTTGTAACACAATCATTTGTGAGCTTTTGTCATCAAATGTCCATACACATGTATCATTCTGCTTTAAAATGATCCTTTTCCCCTTTCTTTATGCTGAGCTAACTGGCTGCTGCCTCATATTTACCGCACAGACATGAGATTGGGCATTTATCTTCCCATCTCAACTCTCACTAAGAAAGCAGATAAGCTAATTCAAAATTCAAAATTGCAACAGGTCGGTACTTGCAGTATCTTCACACTAGATAGGGGTGGGAAAGCAGTAGATTCCAAAATGCCTCGTCCGGATATTTAAATGGCCAAGTGTCTGCAGTCAGTTGGGTTTGGCAGCAGAGTGCTGATAAACACTAAGAACAATAGCGCCATTGAAGTGTCTTTAGTGTTCTCAACTGTTGCCACGATCATAGTTTGGAGCTCCTCAAAGTGAACTGCGGTGCGGTCTGTAAAACTCTCGACTGTATAATCTCAACCAAACTGCAGGAAACGACCTCAAAATGCAACATTTTATGGTACATCATGCTTCACTCAAGTTACAGGAGCCAACACAGTCACATTCCCAAAACTGTCCAATTAATGGGCAGATAGTGATACCATGTGACTTTGTTTACAAGCCCTGGTCTGCTTGTAATTGTGCAATGTGAACATAAACAAATCAAATCCAAGAAATTGCACTTTCCCCCCATATGGTTCTGAGCAAGGACAACATGCAGGAGTGTTTGTGCCCCGAGAGGAATTCTTCTTTTTGTTTAAAGACAACAAGTATATACATGCAAAGGCACATAGTGTACAGGAAAGTGGCAGAGTGGAAGAGTATTCTAATACCAGGTGCAGATGTAATCCAGATGAATGCAACGGTCTGCAAAGGAGGTAAATGTTGATATCAGGTGAGCAGATGATTTTGTTTTTCCACTTCTGTGCGCTCCACGGCACACTGACAGAGAGCCGAGCTGCTCTGTAAACGAGCTGCCTGTCTCTGTGTGTTTAATTGGTTTGTTTGGGAGGAATTTTAACTGAATTCCAGTTGGGATTCATCTCAATTGAATTGTGGCCGGGCTTCAGAGGGCGCAGCAGCAGCAGCAGCAGACGCAGGGGAGGGTGGGGAGGAGAGAGTGAGAGAGGGAAAATGGTTTGGCTCTGGAGCCTTACAACAAGCTCCAACAGGAAGTCATTCAATGGGAAAACACACACCCAGAACAAAACAACCACACACTGACACACACACATATGAACACACGTGTGTGTATACAAGCCAAAACACAAAAGAGAGACGGTCAATTTGGAATGCATTCCTCCTCCTCCTCCCTGCATGAGTCAGTATGCGTGCGTGTGTGTGTGTGTGTGTGTGTGCATGTGTGTCATTTGATGGGCCTTCAGTAGACTGCAACAGCATCTCAGCGACAGATGAGTATCAGGTAGAAAAGTGAAGGAGCAAAAAAAGAGAGGGTGAAGGAGAAGAGACCGAAGATGAAGAGAAGCCATGTGGAGGAGGACATGGTGATGAGGACATGGTGATGAGGACATGGTGATGAGGAAGGGGGTGAAACGAGAGAGAGACGGGGTCAAAAGTGGGGTTTTCATGTAAACAAACTGCACTGCCCTCGGGCACTTTCTGCACGCGTGTCTGTGTGTGTGTGTGTCTGTGTCCTCATTCTTTTCTCACTTTGCCAAATCCTTAAAGCGGTACGCCACTTTTTTGGGACAGTAGCCCAATGGTCAACTCCCCTGTTAAAACACAGACACTTAAACGATCCACGTGTCCTCGGTAGACTGTTATTTCTGAGCTCCAGAAAACTTTTATACCACGGCTTTGAGGCGAGCAGCTCTTTTGATAGATTACAGTTGGATTCATCATTTGTCCGGGTAATCAATAAATCTCATCTATAAACTGAAACAAATTCCCAGCAACTCCCTGTGGTTCAGCAGCGCGGTACATTTTCTTTGATTCCCATCCAACTGAGATCATATTGAGTCATGCTGCATTTGATGTGGATTACCTTCAGAGTCCCAAGAGTCTGTTCTCAACCTGTAAAAGAAAAGTGAGTGTACGCTGGCTTTGGAATCATTTGCAAGATTTGGAAACACTGCCTTCGTACCAGGCAATCAAATGCCATATTTAAAAAAAACATTGCGTGAGCAATTCAACCTCTCTCCTTCCTCCTCTAGCACTATGCAAATAAGCCATACAAGCGATGTGAGAATGTTGTAAACATATTTTTTATGTAAAACTGTGCAAACTTCTGTTTTGGCCAGGTTGATCTCTTGTAAAAGAGGCCGTGTATCCCAAGAGACTTCCTGGTGAACAAAAGGGTTTGACTAAATTAAAATAGAGTGAACTTTTAGCTGCAACAAGTTCTTATTTTCTCATGTTTGGGACATTGGCATGCTTAGGTGTTATGATGGAGCCCAGGAGCAAATGATTGTCTGCCTTAAAGCACTAAATTATTCAGCTATACAAGTCATTAATCGTATCAGTATAAATAAGGTCATCAGGAAGACGTTCAGACAGTCTTGCTTTGGTGGAAGAAGACAGGAAAATATGCTGTTTCTTCAATGACTTTGTGACAGGTTGGGGATAAGTAGAGGGATCCCTTCGTGACAGTATTATTAGAAGATGTGAAGCCTGTCTCACTAAGCAGTGTTGGCTGGATAACTGCACCGTGGGGGCTGCAATTAACAACGGTCTATTATCACTGATTAAGCCATCGTTAAGTTGCTCGTTTTGTCCGACTCGTAGTTCAACACGAAAGATGTTCGATTCACAAGGATAGCAAACAGAGAAACGCAGCAAATCCTCACATTAGCAAAGCTGGAACAAGACAGCGTTTAACATTTTACCTCAATAAAAAACTGAAATGATTTATCAATTATAAAAATAAAAACTTACAGCTAATTTTCTGTGGATCTGCAATCAAATGACTGATTAATGATTCAGCGGTACCTTGATGTGCAGAGAAGAAGCCTGAGCCCAATGACTCCATACTACAGCTTATTTATTTAAACAGTCATTTATTTAGTCACAGCTCACTATGGAGAGATATTTGGGATCTGATTACACTAAAAAGGGAGTAAACGAGGACCTACTCGTCTTCCACAGCATTTATTTATGGATTTGGCAGCATATCTGAACGATAGTTTTCATATTCCTGTCCCGTAAGGCTAACTGATTGAAGATGGAATTCGTACCGTCTCAACCATGGACTCATTTTATTATATTGATGTTTAACAATAGAGCATCTTTGACATTTTGACCTCAAATACAAAAGCATTCCTGCAATTATTCCGAATCCACATCCCTCCTCTCCCAGATGTGTTCGCTCTCTCCGTCTCTCCTCCATGATTCACATGTTGATTTCAGTGGGCAATAGCAAATAGACGGGATGAAATATACACAAACAAGCACATGTTTCTGAGTATTCACACACTTTATCGCCGGAGTAACCATTTCCTGGGAATTCCCTTTAAGAGGGAGAGACAGAGAGAGACAGTGTGTCTGAGACCGAGAGAGAGAAAGGAAGGGAAATCAAAAGGCCATGGTATGCACTGTTTGCGTGACAAGACCCTTCTTGCTAAGCCAAACACACACACACACACACACACACACACCCACACACACGCATCACAACACCACTGCAGTGTGAAGCTCTGTTGCTAATAACTGGTTTTACATTAAAAACTGGTGTTGTCCATTTTTTTGTTTGCGTGTGTGCAAGTACCACCAAACCTGACCTCATATCTGCAACGTACACCTATGATGAAAGCCATATTGGAACTATGGACTTCTATGTGCAACAATTCGATGATCACCACACGCACACACACGCACACACGTGCGCACACTTGCAACTGTTGGAAGACACAGGCCTTCAGTCAGTGCCAGATCAGTCAGCAACTCGGTTAATCATTGATGGCCGCTCAGACACATGGACACACACACCTTCTTTCTCTGTAGAGGAGATTGCAGAATGGCCCTGCACTCTGCCTCAGAAAACCCCAACACACACACACACACACACACACACACACACACACACACACATAATAATTATGGTCGCTGCTGACATGGGCAGGCGCATGTCAGGGTTGCCAGACACACCGCCACCGAAATACAGTTGGAAAAATGGAGCAGTAGAAAGAATGAAATCCTTTGTGTCAACATGATTTATGTTGTCATCAAAACAAAAACAACAACAACTTTTAGCAACTTTTAACAAAAACATAAATTCTTTCAGCTCAAGGTGCGCTCAAATGGAGACAGCTTCTATGGGATTCCCACTCAGACAGGTGCTTTCTCTACTAACCCACTGGCGGGGGGGGGGGGGGAAACAGAGAGAGAAACAGCAGGGTGAAAGAATGAGTCTGAACTGAACCTGAGCCCGAAGAAAACCGGCTTGACAAGAATTCAACACAACACACATGCGCACACACACTCAAGCACTGATGCCTGCTGGTATACAGGGGAGTTTTCTAATACAGTCTCTGATTAACGCACGCTTGCACACATAGTGGGCTTCTGTGTTCGGAGCATTTTTTTTTGGTGAGGCTGTGCACACACCTGCACACATTGTCCGTGTGTGTGTGTGTGTGTGTGTATCTTTCACGCACGCACGCACACACAAACACACACACACACACACACACACACACCAGTCTCGTGTGTCCCTTCACAACAGTGGGCCTATACTGTCAAAAGTCATGTCTCGTGTCGTCTGTCTCTTGTCTTTCAGTCAAATCCGATCACATCAGGAGGAACTTGAAGGACCTTCTTTTTTTTAAGTCAACAAACAAAGATTTGGTCTCACTTCGAGGCTTTAAGAGCTGTCTGAGCATTGAGACACGTTTCATTCTCACCTCGTCCCATTTGATGAATTTGCCCCCCTTCTTCAGCGCTTCGTGGACGGACACTGGTTTGAGCTGCAGCGCGTGGACTCCCGGCTTGGCCCCGGCCATGGCGAGGGACTCCCTGCCCGGGTGCCAACGCCTAAACCCCGGCTACCGCGACTCCTTTGGAAGGCACAAAAAAAAAAAAAAACAACAACACTCTTCCTTCCTCCTCTTCCACCCCGGAGCTTGTTCTTCTTTTCCGGGGAGAGAGTGAACTGCAAGTGCGCGGCGAGAGGGAACTTTTTTTTTCAGACCCTGACCTCAACAGTTGGTAAACGTCACCGAGAGTTTGAAGAACATGAGGAGTAAAATCCAGAGAGAGAAGGAGAAAGACAGGACTGAGAGTTTCGGCGCGCACCGCCGCTGTCTTGTCCGCGTCCACGCAACGCGGTGGCGCGCCTTCAACCCCCGCTTTTTATTATGAGCTTTGATTGTTATATTTGTTTATTTATGCCGAATCCTTTAATCGCGCACTTGAGCCCGCAGAGAGATCCCTTCCTTCCTTCCTCCCATCTGGTCGACCTCTCTCCTCTCCTCTCGCTCTTCCAAACTTTCTCTGCTTTCTCTTTCTCTCTCTCTCTCTCTCTCTCTCTCTCCTGTCGCCTCCGACGCGTCTCTTCTTCTCTACTCTCTTCCCTGCATGTTTTCTGTGGGGGGGTGACAACAAAAAGAAGATTCCGAGAGGAGAGAGAGTGAGGGACAAGGGCAGCGTCAGACAGCGCTGAGTGAACGAGCAGCGAGAGAGCAGGAGGGAAGTCAGAGATTGTGTAAAAGGGGTGTGTTTTAATTCAATTCCTCTGACTGCCTGTCCGTCCGCATGTTTCCTTAAATATACAGTGTGCATGTATTATCATGAACACGATCGGGTCCGTGTTTTCTTTATCTCAAATAATGTTTGTTTTCCCCAATAGTCTATTTGCTCAAACATTTACCCACCCGGTATGTTGACTTCATCACAACTCCGAATCTCCCCGAACTTAAAGGTGCGCAGTGATTTAGTATTGTGCGTTCATAAAGTTTGGGGACTAAAACGTGTCTTTCATCCACTCCTGGTAAACGTGTTTGCCACTTTGTAATACAGGCTTTCAGTTGGACATTTGTAGTCTCCCAACCCAAGTGGAGATGACCCTTTGTGACATTATGTGTCATTTGTTTTCTTTAACTCTGTAAAGCTTTTCTGGAGCCAAAGAGGACATATACAACTGTTTTAACTTCCCCTCTGACTACATTGACCGTGATGTGTAAAATGTCCCCTTTAATGAGCCCTCTAGTTCAGTGCTAAATAATATGAATCTATGTTTATTGTAACAGTATACATCCACATACTGGCAGCACCACAAGACAGCCAGGACTAATCTAAGGAGGCAGAAGAAGATAAAAGGCTTAAGAATGTGGGGGGGGGGGGGGGGGGGGGGGG